AGCCGCACAGCCGCACAGCCGCACAGCCGCACAGCCGCACAGCCGCAGAGCAGCAGAGCGGGCGGCGGCCCCAGCGCCGGATGTGGGCTGCGCGCGCTCCGCGGGGCGAGGGCGAGAAAGGCCCGGCGGCAGCCAGGGGCGCGGAGGCCGGTGTGGGGGGAGGGCCTCGCTCGCAGGCTCCCACAGCACACACTCAGCTCGAGGACAGAGGAGGCCAGAGCCTCGAGGCCAGCTCACACCAGCAGCTCTCTCCCTCTGCACTCAGAAACCTCCCTGCGGGCGACAGGGCTATTTACGACCGCGACTAGAAAGGCCACTTGTGATTAGCAGCCCTCCACAGACCGTACTTAACCTCGGGCTCGTGGCTACTGCTTCTATTTGTTGGTCGCTGCTGAAGCCCCGCGTCTTTCCCTCTAAGCAAAAACCCTGTGCTCAAAAAGAGTCTCCGTGATGTTGCCCATCACTAGCTGCTGATCTGCAGGCTGGTCCAGGGACAACAGTTTTGTCCCGGGTATATTTGATTGTGCCCAGTCAAAGGGAGGCGTATCTCAGTGTGATTAAAAAACAGTTGACAGCTAACATTTATTGAGCATTTACTATGCTCCAGAAATTGTGCTTAGCACTTTAAATGTGTTGACCTAAAAAGGAAGCTGAGGACAATTACATATAGCGAGGATTTATTGAGTCAATATGACGATTGCAATCAGGGAGACACATAGATCAAATCACCCTGAAAATGTGTTCTGAAGAGGGCCAGTAGAGCTTAGCATTTTATAATCACAAGAAGGGGTAAGGAGCAAAGAAGAGAGAGAGAAAGACAGCCCCATCTAATTACTTCATCGGGTTTTCTATTGTACATGACATGTGGATTTGGGATTGTTACTAGTTTATATCCTATATGCAGAGATCTAGGGTAAGGATTGTAAGAAGCATTCTAGGTTATTTTATAGCTCTCTGGTCCCATGGCTGCTTCTAAGTAAAATGGTCTTATGGTAACATTTTCCAGGACAGGTGGACGTGACTACTGACTTCTCCCAGATCTCCCAAGGCAGTACGATTTAGTTGACCTGGTCAGAACAGATTCCTTTGGTTATCGCATGTTTTTATCTATTTGATCTTTACAGTAACCCAACAAGGTAGATGTTGTCGTCCTTGTTTTACAGATGAGGATACTGAGGCTCAGAGAGGTTAATTTTGCACTAGTCGTAATTACTGAGGGGCAGAGCTGGAATTAGCAGCCAGAGCTGTCCAACTTCTATGCTCTGAACATCTACCCAGCACTGGTGGTGATTATAAAGAATGTTCTCAATGTTCCTGACTTACGAGGCTATATTTAATTGTACGGGTATTCCTTCCCCGAGTCCTTTTCTAATCACTCAGTGTGGCAATCAGCACTATGCTAAGTGCCAAGAGGATACAAACAGTTCTTGTCTTCAAGGAGCTTGCAGCAACACAGGAACAAGGGATGTGATGGTGCACCCAGGAGCGTTACAATGTTGCAGGTGTTCAGAGGAGGAAGGAGAGAGCTGAGGCGGCAGTGAAAGCTCTCCAGAGGAGAGACTTGATCTGGGCCATGAAGGGAAGGATACATAGAACTTGGAGACCAAGGAGAAGGCACTCCCGATTGCAAAGAAGGGTATGAACAAAGCCTTAAGGCAAGCAATCTCCTCCCTGGAGAAGCAAATCAACTTAAGGAAAAGAGAAGGAAACTGGATGTTGTTGGGCACTTATTATGTGCTGGCCACTTCCAAAGTATCAGCCATGCATCATTCACTCAGCCCTCAATATAACACTGCAAAGCAGGTATGATTATCCCCATTTTGCAAAAGAGAAAACTGACTCAACAATATCAAGAAACTTCCCTAAGGTCCCACAGCAAGGAAGTGATGGCCTAGAATTCAAACCCAGATCCTCTGGCACATGCTTTCCACTAATGTGTCTGGTTCTGCTTTGCTGCAATACCTTGAATATGACCGGTCCCCAAACTGCATCCTGGGACCTCATGGCTCCAGGCTGTACTTGGTCACATCAAAGCAAAGCAGCTGACATCATTTTCCTTGTCCCCGCTCAGCTCCCTCTCCTGTCCCCTGAGCACAGAGCCACACTTTCAGCACTCTTCTCAAGTGCTCCCCCAACCCCTGCCCTGCTCCTCTGAGCAGATGAAGGCTTCACAGAGGATAAGGGCCACCCACCCGGCCTGCAGCCAACTTCTTACCCACTCTCTCACTTGCTTCCTCACATTAACTTCCAATATCAAGAATGAGACATTTCTCACTCACTCAAAACCTCCATCCCCTCCTCTCTCATCTGCTCGGTACCACATGGCATCACCTCTTTCTCTCCCCAGTACTATCAAACTTTTTCTTTTAACCTGATCTTTCCCTTCTGCCTCATGCTTCCATCTCTCCTGTGCTAAGATAAGCTCTCCCTTGACCCTGCATGACTCCTTCCCAGATATATCCCTTTCTCTCTCTGCCGTTCTCAGCCAAGTTTCCCCAAAGAAAAGTCTGCACTAGCTAAACCAACTTCCTCGCTTTCCCTCCAATCCTCAGTCCTCCACAATCCAGCTTCCTCCTCCACCACTCCAGAAACTCTCTCAGAGGTCACAGTGAGACCTTCTCTTGCCTTCTTACCAATTCCAAGAGGCACATCATGAGCCTTTCAAGAGCAGACCTCTCAGCTGGCCGGTTAGCTCATTTAGGAGAGTGTGGTGCTGGTAATACCAAGATCAAGGGTTGAGATTCCCATACCAACTAGCCACCAAAAATAAATAAAATTTTTAAAAAGAGCAGATCTCTCAGACATGTGTAGAAGGTCAACTGCTGATTCTCTTGGCTCCCAGAACACCATCTTTCCCTCCTCACCCTCTTGCAATTCCTTCTCACTCTCCTCGTGGGCTCCTCCTCCACCTGCTCCTTAAACGCTGGTGTTCCTGGGCCGGCCCATCACTCACTTGGGAGAGTGTGGTGCTGATAACACCAAATCAAGGGTTAAGATCCCCTTTTAAAAAAAAACACACTGGTGTTCTTCAAGGTTCTGTTCTCATCCTGATGCTCTTCACACTCTGTATTAGTCCATTTTGTGTTGCTATAACAGAATACCTGAGACTGGGTAAAATATAAAGAATGGAGGTTTTTCTGGCTCACGATTCTGGAACAGCTGCATAAGGTGTGGGACTTGGGCTGCTTCTACTCATGGCAGAAAGTGGCAGCAGTCAGCTGGTACAAGCAGATCATGTGGCGAGAGGAAACAAGAGAGAGAGAGAGAGAGAGGAGGTGTCAGGGTCTTTTAAACAACCACTTCTCACAGGAACTAATAGAGTGAGAGCTCACTCATTACTCCCTCCACCTATGGAAAGCACTAATCCATTCATGAGGGATCCACCCCCATGACTCAAACTGTCACACTGGGGATCAGATTTCCACATGAGTTCTGGGAGGACAACACATCCAAACTCCATCACACTCCATCTGTTTTCCTTAATTCCCAAAGCTCTATCCCCAGACCTGACCAGATAGTCCCTTGAGCTTCAGACATATTCTGAGTGTATTCCCCTAGAAGTCCACAGACTCCACAGACACCTCAAATTCAAGATGTTCAAAACTGAAGTCATCAATCCACCCACCACCCCACCACCAATCTCTTGAACCATCTCCTCCACCCGTATGTCCTGGCCCAGTGAAGGGTAACACCATCTACCTAATGATTAGGCCAGAATCCTGGGAGTTGGCCCAGATACCACCTGCAACCTTATCTTCCACATCTAATTGGTCACCAAATGGTACTCCCTAAACAGATCATCAGTC